CGTCTGTTACGTTTCATCAGCATTAAATTCAGTATGTTAAGACCATTATTTCTTGGTAGTACTCTACAAAGTAATTCAGGGGGTCTGTTGCCATAACTTAAATAAATGCATGTTAAAAATTATTATTTGTTGATTTAATTAAAAAGTTGCAAACATTATTTTTTTATGAGTTCTGGTGCCATATTTATAGGTGAATAAATGTTGAAATTAAGTGTTATTTTATAAGTGTTTTTAATGAAGGGAGAGAACTGTTAGTGTTTATTGCTGTTATGTTTGACATTTGAAAGAGTTTCTGTTGTGCTGGAGTTTTTGTGATTATTTCGCTGAAGAGACTATAGCCTATACGAAAGTAAACACATTGACTCGATGAGCGAAAGCAAGTGATATTTCACATGCTTATTTCGTTATATTTAAGCATGTGCTTTATGTGTTAATTTGATGCGAAATAGATAAGAATAACTGGTTCCAGGGCCACAGTTCAATTAGATGCATTTGGGATCTGATAGATGGTTTGGACCCGGTGAAGCGGAGATGCTCTGAATATCATCACGGCTGTGGAATGTAGGTCAGAGCTTCATGCAGTGAGTTCAAATTCCTGCATCCATTAATTACAATAATATATCTAGAGTTCTTGCAACCAGACACATGCACAATTTCATTTTCTTTTTTATTTACCCATGCAGGCCTTTAGTCCACTTTAGACATTCTACTATCTCTAAGTAACTTTGCAACTACATGTCAACTAGCAGTCATTAGAGTATGACTCTTTGTTGTTGTCTTCTTGCATTATTGACTAACTATTTTCCTGTTTAACACTGTAAAGCTGCTTTGACACAATCAGTATTGTATGAAGCGCTATAGAAATCAAGGTGACTTGACTGTTTAATACCTGCTAACACTTTATTTTGATGCTCTCCAACACACATTCTACTGACTATAAATCACTTTGCAAGTACAGTGGGTACGGAAAGTATTCAGACCCCCTTAAATTTTTCTGCTAACCCAAACCCTAACCCAGTGGAGTCCCTAGGGATTCTGGGCCCATTGCACAGAATTTGCTATGGGGGCCCCCTCAAAATCACGTTCAGTCGGGCCCCTCTCAGTTTCTGGGCCCTATGCACTCTGTCCTCTGAGATTAGAATAAGTGTGTCCCAAAGCACAGTATGTCGAAAAGAATATGCCAAAAGTCCCCGGATAGCCTACTATTTCCAGCAGATTTTCGAAGTGTGGTTTCAGAACTACAAACACTAATAAAAAGTGTTAAAAACTACAAACATGACAGATGTACACAACCGATAAGTAGACACTTAGTTACTAATAATCAAGTAAAAAATATTTATTTAATGATATCCGTGTTATATTTAATCTGCAACAACGTGAACTTTTATAAACATCCGTTTGGCCATTAACTTTTAAATGCATCATTATGCAAAAAAAAAAGAGAGTTCTCCACATGAAAGACCCACAGCTGGCAAATGAACGTACTACTACTTTTCTCTCCAATACGGTAGGAAGTTAAATGAAATGAAATGTGGAGGATGTTAACTGTGACAAGATGATTGACAGACCAGTTTACAGTGACAGGGTACGCATAACTATGTGACACAGTGTCTGCTAAAGACGCAATTTAATGATGTGCTAGTATGACCCGAATCTTGCCTGCTCTTCTACACACTCAACTGAAAAAACGCTGCATGGCATTTTCAGCAGAGCACCTGGCGTTTTCAGCTGGCTAAAAACTCTTTGATGGACACACAGCCTAAGAGATCAAATCAGTGACCTCGTGATAAAGACTGAGGTCCAGTCCTTGTCAGAAGAGGTGGGATCAAACCAGTTCAGCATCTGTCATCTGTAATGGTATGCCATCTTGAGCCAGATCCAACATGTGAGCAAGCTGATGCGGTCTAACAGTGGGTAGGATGATTGGAGTGCTGTTGATCAAATAAGGAGCTGACAGAACAATGTGAGCCTTTAGTGGGACACACTGAACTATAATAACTGAGACAAACCAAGCCGACATCAAAGAATTAGTGGTGACGAAAGCTGACTGCATTGCTGCCTCATGTCGCTTGTGTCTAGGTCAAAAAATTGCCCTTGAACACACTGCAAAGACTACAGTCAACGGCCAACTAGCACATACAATTTGTGCCTGCATGAGAGGAAATCACTTTCCACATCAGCATGTTGCAGTAGTCTGAAAAGCAGCACTTGCTTGCCCTTTTGAATATGAATCATGTTGATCCCTTTCTTCATTTAGGCGACCATGTCATTAGGCCCTTTCGCACCGCTTTAGTTCCAGAACTAAACGTACGGTAATAAAGTTCTGGGACGATTTTGTGCGAACTATTTCCCAGTAATATTTAAAGGGTTGCATTCGCACCGACAGTGTGTACTAAGAAGTGACGTAAGACGGTCGACAGCGACGTCATTAGTGCACGGCATTCAACAACAGAAACAAAGAAGAACATTAACAACAGGAGGATGGAGGACGCTGTGATCGGAGCTGTGTTTGCTGTGTCTCGCGGGTTTCACAATAATGGACATGGAAAGTCGACGTATACGTAAAGCGATTGAAAGAACAGAAAGGAGGACTAAGAATCTCCAACGACAACTGGCAGTGCTACATTTGCTACAAGTGCCTGCACTTCAGCGTCCGTCCATCTATCGCTGTTCTCCATACTTGCAAAATAAGTTGACACAATGTTTACAGTATATTTACACGGCATTTTAAATCATGGCGGGTGAGGGCGTTTTCATAAGTGTTTGGCCAATCAATGTCTACTTACGTCACGATTAGTACCAGTTGTGCTGGTTAGACCCTGCTCCGGAGTAGGAGCTAATTTGGTTCTCGAAAAAGGCAGTCCAGTACTAAAATCGCTCCCAGATCTGGTGGTGCGAACACGCCGAAAAGTGGGTAGTTCCACAATTAGTTCTGGTACTATGAAAAGGTTCCTGCGGTGCGAAAGGCCCTATTATGAAAATATTTGCATACTGGAATGGTCAGGTAAGATGAAGGTGTAAAATGAGAAGAGCCTTCTGTGTGTGTTCTCTTGACTTTGTCATTGGCAGTCTGGGATTACATGAAGAGACGGAAAAAACTTGAGACAGACTAAATCCATAAGAACTGTGGCAATAAATCTATTTGCCTATCTATTTTAAAGCAAAAGTATGGTTGTGTATGTAGAAAGAAAGTATGGCTCCCTTTTTTCTCAGATTGAGCCACTGTCCCTCCAAATTCAACGAAGCTACTACTGCGCTATGAGCCGATAAGCCAATGACTTCTCAAGCAGCATTCGGGTCCAAAGGTACCTCCTGCTCTAACTGCTCTAATGATCTACAACAGCATCAAGCCATTCAGTACTTATTAATAAATTGATACTTTTTTCAATTTAAGAAGAAGAACACAATATGTGAAAGTTTATAGTCACAATACATCTGTATTTAATAATACTTTGTGTGTTCCACAGGGATTTGTACTTGGACCACTCTCATTTAGTTTGTACATCAATGATTTGCCTTCTATTTGTCCTGATGTAGAATTTCAGCTATATGCAGATGACGTTGTAATTTATGTGCATGGTTGTTCTAGTGAGGGTGTTGCCTCCAAACTCACTAAAGCAATGAGCCATATTACTAAATGTCTATATAAATAATGTCTTATGATAAATGTGAGTAAAACCGTTGGGATGTTTTTCTCCAAATGGCTTTGTAGAACTTCAGAGACTGATATTATGTTATACAGGCAAGTTTAAATATCTGACTAATATTTTTCTAATATTTTGGTACACGTTAAAATATACCAATGGGTTAGGTTTAGCTTAAATTATTAAATGGACAAATTTAATTCGTTTACATGTACAAATTCAAGCTGATTCCCTTTATTTTTTAACATGGTGAGAAGCTTGTAAGATTATCGGCTCATAATTTCTCTTCTTTGAATTGGAACAAAAGAGCAGCAAAATTTGCAAGGAGGCAGAGTCAAGGGTCAGTTCCTTTCCATCAATGACAATTTCACAGTGTAGAAGAATTTGAATAGACTGATTATTCACATGGGTGACACAACTGCCAAAGAGAGGATATTGCTCATTTATTTCGCATAAAATAATGAGGAAGAAGATAAAAAAAAAATAGAACAAAATTAGGAACATCACACAAATTTAAAAAAAATTGTGTTGGTTCATGCATTTATTGAGAGTATATTTGAAATGTATTTTTCAAAATGACAATAAAAAACAACAACAACAACAAAAGGCATGTACTTAACACACTGACATTGAATTGCAACCATCTGTTAATGTTTGGATTAGTGTTTATTTGTTAGAAGCCACAAGTCAATCATGTGTGCCTGCTTTAAAAAACAAGCACTGGATCAGACATATGTTGTAACAGCCGTTGCAAATATTACAATGGAAGTTACCAATCATTGTGAACTCATTGACACCCAAGTCTTTTTATTGAAACATTAAATACAGATTATAATGAGTACACTGTACATATAGATAAACATATGTGAGAACAAGTCACTAATGTACTGTATGCATATTAGGCATCTGATCTGGTCTTTAATGAGGGTCTTAAAATGCTATTAACTATTGCCAACTACAGCCAGCCAGCCAGAGAGAGAAGGATGCTTCACTGACCACTGTCTGCATCACTCCTGCCAATTTTAGGATGGACAACAAACTAAACATCATCCTAGCAGTTTATACACTGTGCAACTATATTACACAATTACATACATAAAACAACACAGACAATATGCAAATAAAATGATTGGGCATGTGTTTTATGCATGTGAGGGTGCTTTTGATTCCCCATTTCTACTTAATCCTCTCCCATCCCCCTTCACTCATCTCCGCATTATCCTCTGTGCATTTGAATTATTCTGTCACGGGGGTCTCTCTCCTCCCACCCCATCGCCTCATTTCTCTTCATAGCTGATTATTCTGGTGGAGAAGAAACATTTGATTTCTGTCGAGCGCCATTGTGATCAAGTGTTTTTGGGGGGTTTTGATCAGAGAGGCTGAAACTGAGCATCTTAACCTGCTGGCACTTGTTCAGTGTGCATTTCACATGCAGATGCACTGAATGGTGAAAACTGGATTGAACTTATCATTTGACCATGCCAGCTGCTGGACACCGATAATGTTTGGAATAAAAGCGATACATTGGAAGTAAGCGCGATGTTTTGCTGTAGGTAAGTAGCTGCGACGCAATGTTTGCTGTTACAGGTGCGCAGTGTTTGTGTAAATAAAAATGTATCAACTTCATTTGCCCAATCTTCTAAAAATGTAAGTCTTTATTTGAGTGAAGTGCAGTCATAGTTATTTTTGCTTCATTCTCTCGTTCGCTTCACGATTCCATTTAAAGCGAGTTATTTTTTCATGGTTGAATTCGACCGAATTTCTCTGAAACAGGTGTGGAGGAGAATGTGTTGTGAATTAACTGCTCATTTAAACCGTAGTTTCGAATATATGTTGTACTATATGAATTGCTTAAATGCAGTGTCTCACGAGGAAGCAAATGCATAACTTTTTGTTTTTTAGTAATGTAAAGGTTATTGGGTTGTTATTTTGTCTCCCAACATTTTCCCCTGTACGTTATGAAAATAAAACCTGAACATAACGTTCTGTAAAACTTATTTGCCACAGAATCCTCAGGACTAGCCTAAATAGGTTGTCTTCATCTTTGAATTAGCTGCAAATATAACCGAATGGGAACTATACACTTGGTTTTGTGTGTGCTGGGTCACTGTATGTACAACGTAGCCTACAAAGCATGGAAACTTCAGATGATGTGTGATCTTCTGATTGGCATCTTGTAAAACAGTCAGTCACCTCTGTGCAAAACTTAAAGGGATAGTTCACCCAAAAATGAAATGTGATGTTTATCTGCTTACCCCCAGGGCATCCAAGATGTAGGTGACTTTGTTTCTTCAGTAGAACACAGATTATGATTTTTAACTCCAGCCGTTGCAGTCTGTCAGTCATATAATGCATGGCAATGGTAACAAAATCTATGAGAGTAAAAAAAAACAAACACAGACAAATCCAAATTAAACCCTGCGCCTCGTGACGACACATTGATATCCTAAACGATCGGTTTGTGCAAGAAACCGAACAGTATTTATATAATTTTTTTACCTCTAATACACCACTATGTCCAACTGTCTGATGAGCTTCATTTGAACATGCTTTCGACATGCATCGGTACAACTGATGCTTAAATAATAAAAGACTTAATTGATAAAATAGTATAGTCAAGTCACCTTTATTTATATAGCGCTTTATACAATACAGATTATGTCAAATCGGCTTTACAGGAAAAAATATGTGCTGATAATGCAAAAGGACAATAAAAAACAGTCAGTTTATCAGTTAAAGACAGTTTATTGTTGCTTCAGGCCATGTCCACATGTACACGGGTATTTTTATAAACTGGGTTTTTCTTCCGTTTAAAAAAAAAATCTCCGTTCACATGAAAACGCAAACGCATGCTATGAAGCACTGTCCAGAGCATGCCAAACCAACAGGTGGCGATATAATCTCAACCGTAAAGCCGTGTTGGCCAATCAGAAGCCTGAAAAAGTTTCCAGTAGGCGGAGATAACAGCGCAGGCACCGACGTCACAAGCCAAAAACTCCGGTTTCGCTGTCTACACGATAACACTGCAACCGGAGTTTTTGAAAATCTTCACCCTGGAAGGCATTTTCCAAAATGTTCGGTTTCAGTGACCTGGTGCTGCGTTTGCGTGTGGACGAACGACCTAACCGCGTAGAAAAAGCTGCGGTTTTAAAAATAACCACGTTCGTGTGGACAGGGCTAGGGCTGTGACGGTGGCAGTCGGTAGTGCACGTCACGTCACGCACTCTATAACAAGCATAATACGAAGTTTTGTATACAAGTGTAATAACAGTAGCGGAACAGTGAAATCATGTCTACACCGGACGCGACAGCGCCACGTCACAACAGGTTGAGTCTGTCTAGTGTCTAATCCTGGTCCTTAATTTCAATATGTTTACTCTCTCTGTTAAATCCCCTGCAAAGCATGCTGGGAACTAGTAGCCAGTATGTTTTCTGCGTATCAGCACACTGGTGTCAAGTGGAATACAATTTAAAAGAAAATAATTTCTTTTAATTTATTCTATGGGGAGTGTTATTTGCTTTTTTCCAAACTAAACGTAATAGGTTTAAACCGGAAATCATGATTTCCGATTAGACCAATATAGAATGTACTTTAAATAAATTAGACAGTCGTTTTCATTTTTTTCAGTGCAGTACAGTTGGCACTGCTGCATCTTTCACCAAAGGTTTCTTTGCAAACTGTACATTAAATTGTCTGTGTTTTAAAAAAACAATCTGCAGTAAAATGCTATGAACAAACATATAGTCATCCGATAGCATGATTCGTGAATTTAGCTGCGTTCACGCCATGTCGTAATTACCGTAATTCCGAGTTGACAACATGCGACGTTTTACTCGGAGCTGTCCATGTCCTCGGAATCGGAGGTAGAGCCTAAGTAGCGCCTAAATTAATCTTGTGGTGGTCAGGTGGTACAGCGGTCATGTGGTCCAATTCGTAGCACTCACTCTGAGCTTACAAATTGTAATTACGAGTTCTGCGTTCATGTGAATGCTTTGGCGTTGATAGTGTTGCCATAGACATGCATAATTCAGCTTGTTGTTCATGTGTTGTCATCTCAAAATTACGATAATTATGACATACAGTAGCATGAACACAGCAATTGTTAAAAAATAACGATCACTTTGTTCCTAACGAAGGGGTTTTTGGGAAGGCTGTGCAGAGACACAGATGTGCTGTCCTAACTGGACTCGTCACAGTGAACATTCCAAATAGATTGCTTTTTTTCCCCTCATCCATTTGTCGTTTTGACAAGAAAAGCAACTTTTCATCAAAACATTGGATGGGTCAGATAATAGAGACATCAGGAACGTGTACTGTTGATGCCTCCAGGGACAGGGCTGGGAAGCACTGCTTTAGACTCATTAGTCTGAGAACTTTGTCTATTCTCACTGAATTTCTATAACCAATCCCAGTCCAGCATTTGCCATTTGGGGATTCCAGCATCAGCTGCAGCTGCCTTCAAAGCACATGTTCTCAATCTGGAATTACAATGGAACATAAAATTGACCAAATTATGAAGAACATATGCAACAAAGGTGCACTCATTCCAATAGTCTAGCCCAATAGTTTCCGAAATGGCAGCTGTTTTATATTGATGTTCTTCTGTAAGTTCATTTCTATTTGAATTGCATTAACGTTTCACAATATTCCTTTTTGCAATTCAGAAAGCAGATTACAATCCTGTAAAATTTGTGGAAAATGTACAATCCTAATGAAAAATGTAAGCAAGCATCTGTTCAGGAGATCCCCCTCACAATGTAAAGAGCTTTGTGTGTCTAGAAAAGTGCTCTATAAATGCAACAAATGATCATTTATGTTATTAAGCATATTTGAAGTGTTTCAAGTTTCGGTTTAGAGGGCAATAGTAATGCAGTGCTTGAGCAGCAGATTGAGCGGTGTGGTGACCTAGTTAAACAGCGCTTTATTCATCACATTAAATCAGTCTTTTGTCAGACACAGGCATGGTCATAATAAAACCACATTGTTCCAGAGTGACAATGCAGGCCTTTTCTGTTGTGCATGTTCTGATCTGCAGCATCTTCAGGAGTCTGATCACAGGCATTGTCTTATAACCTTCATCAGTTCTTTCGGTAACACTTTACTTGAAGGGGTGTGCATAAGACTGACATGACACCTTCATAATCATGACATGACACATGTCATGAATATGAAGGAGATTTTATGCATGTTTATGACAACTGTCATTAAGTGTCATTCGCTCAGTTATGTCATTTTTAATGCAAATATGACATTACGCAAAATATGCATATGACATTAATGCAAATATGACATTGACCTAACCCTACCCCTACCCTTACCCCTAACCATAGCCCATAACAAAGACATCTCAAACAATGTCATCTTTGCATTAAAAATTACATAACTGAGCGAATGACACTTAATGACAGTTGTCATAAACATGCATAAAATCTCCTTCATATTCATGACATGTGTCATGTCATGATTATGAAGGTGTCATGTCAGTCTTATGCACACCCCTTCAAGTAAAGTGTAACCGTTCTTTCAAATGAAAGGTCGCTTATTAATGATGCATGACTTCTCCAGCAGAAGCGCTGAAGTCATTGAAGAGTAGAAAATAATGTTCTTCATTTTAGTGGTCTGTATTTTTAGAACTTTAAAGGAATGCTATTTAATAAATACAAGTTAAATTTAAGCATGGCATATTAAATATATATATATACATAACACCAGACAATTTCTGTCTCTCTCCACAGTGTCTCAGCCAAGCACTGATAAAACAAATAATGCTACTGGACCAGCTGCGAAACTATCAGAGGAACACTGTTAAACTTCAATACAGGAATATACCGAACAAATACAGACGATCTCACTAACTGGAGCAGTTCCTTCGGTTTGAATACTGGATGTAAATCTTTGACTTCGCCTCAGAAGACTAGAGGACCCTGCAGGATAAGCATCCACATGCTACTGAGAGGAACAGAGACACGGGAGGATGTCAACAGAGGCAGAACTTCAAGTCAGTGTCAAGAAGGAGTCCAGAAGACGAGGTCAGTTCAGAAGTTTGCTTTATTGCTTTATTCTTAGCTGAAGGTGCTGATGGCATTAAACATCCGAGCAGCCTGAATGTCACTACATTAATAAAGAATGAGTAGATATGACTATGTGCCTTTATAGCAACATATGTGCAATATTGCACATATTAAGAGTTTATTTAATTGCAAAAATCAGAGTTTACTCCATTAACTTTCTTTAATGTCATTATGTGAACAGTATGCCTCCACAGTCTTATGTCTTTGATTTCACAATCAAGGCAATTGTTTATTAAGTCTACTAAGGCTCGTTGTATTTCAATAATTATCATAGGAATTCTTGTCCTTATAATCAAGATTTGTCTTTTTTAATTACCATTTTAGACTCAGAAATACTGGCAATATTTACTCACCCTTATGTGGTCATGTGGAAAATATTCACACTGCCTTTTTCTGTACAGTATAACGTGAGCAGGGGCTGTGAGACTCAAAAACCATCGAACAAGTGATGTTGTCTCTGATGAGAGATTCAGTATACCTGTGTTCGGCCTTCACTGCCCATAAATGATAAATGAAATTGCCTCAACCTTGATTTTTTTCCATCTCCATGGCAACTGCTGCTTACCGACAGAAATCCATGGAAAGCTGATTCAAACACACAGCTGTCATGCAAGCGACACACACATAGGAACCTATGGCAGTTCTGGACGAATGTCAAACTCGTATTAAATCAGCCACAGCCTCAGGCAACAGAAATATCACTCTGAGTTGAGCACACTGAGACACTTTCATCATATTCACACTTGATGAAGATACCAGATACCAGAACAGAAAGGCCTTTTGACTGCAATCCACCTCAAAAATTATTAAAACATTTCTACTTGGGAAAAAAAAATCCTTTTATTTATTTTTTTAATTTGCAACCCAAAACAACCCAACCACTGGGTCAAAACAATCCAACCGCTGAGTCAAAACAACCCAACCGCTGAGTCAAAACAACCCAACCGCTGAGTCAAAACAACTCAACCGCTGAGTCAAAACAGCCCAACCGCTGGGTCAAAACAACCCAACCGCTAGTCAAAACAACCCAACCGCTGAGTCAAAACAACCCAACCGCTGGGGCAAAACAACACAACCGC